GACCCGAGCAAAGCAACAAGCCAAGACCTGTAACATCCAATGTGGACATTAGGAAAGTTTAATTCCTCAGTCACACAAGCCACATGTTTTCAACTTGCTTTCAAATGCCATCTCTTTGGGGCAACCTTCTGCACTCCTTGGAAATGTATAAAACGAGGATGTGCTCCTGCATTCTAGCCTGGCCCTGGTCTCTACACCTGCTCTTGGCAGTGCCTCCTCTACTCTCCTGAGCCCCTTGATGACCACGAGTGGCTGAATCCATGTCATCTTCGTGTTCTGACACATGAGGGCCTGACACATAATGGACATTCACTTTATTCCTTGTTCTTTCCCTTGAGGGTTGAGCAGGAAGAAACGGTAAGATGCTCCTTTCATAACAATATGAAAGCGTAACGGGAAGCTCACACACGGGCTCCCTCTTCTCAGGTGCTGACTCCAGCAGCTCTCTGAGAATGGCCCTCCTCCCCTGCTCACCCTCCCTTCCAAGACCCGACTCAGATCCTGTCCTTTAGAACCACAGGGAAAACGTCTGGCAAGAGCCACTGTTGTACCAGCTGATTTAAATTGAAATGTTTTCCCCAGATAAATGTGTGCTAAATAATATACCAGCTCTCCAGCCAGAGGGAAGTGACAGGCGCTCTGTAAATAAAGGCACTTAGTTGCTGGTAAAGAGCCGTAAAGTGGTTCTGAGCTGATGTTTGCTGACCAGCAAGAAGCGGCTTCACCTGCTTTATGTAATTGTCACTGCAGCCTCGCCTGCTGTATATTAAAACTGCATCTCATAGACCCAACTGTCACATCGGATAGACCATCCGCACGGGGTGTGCCACCTTCTCTGTAATTGTTTTCGACAACCAGCCATCACATCTCAGATCATTTCAGAAAGCGTCTGGGCCAGAATCCCCAGGCTGGGTCAGCTCTGACACCATGTGGGCTCAGATAGCGACACCACAGGGATGTGAAAAGAGAAGAGGGGAGACAAAGTTTTGTTTGTCTAGGAGACCATGTGACATGCAGTGCCAAGTGTCTGAACACAAATCCCGATGAGGACTCTCCCTTCGCATTGTTAAGACACATTTTTCTTGCATCGGGACAGAAAAACTCTCCAGAGGAAAATAGCACGGGGCCTCCTGACTAAGCTGGTCCAAGGGCACACACATCTGTCCCGAGTCCACATTTCTATCTTGCTGCTTTCTTCAAAGGTGGTGATATAGTTCTCAGGACTAAGCAAACTATGGGGTTTTACAAAGGACTACAGAAGAAATAGCAAGGACAATGGGGTGGCAGTGGCCAGAAATCTATGTAGTTAACATTTGGTGGGAGGGGTTACATTTGGTTCCCAAAGTGAAAGAGGAACAGGAATCCATTTTGGGCTCTGACCTCCCAAAGCCCTGCAGAATGGCAATAAATATATCTGAGCCACACGAGCCCTGCAGTTGGTGAGAAGGGTCTTGAAGTAGGGGGTATGGGGAAATGGGGGGGAGAGACAGTGTCAGGGACACTCAGCTCATCCATCTGGCCCCACAGGTTGGGATGGACCCCAGGAGTGGGTGAATTTATAAAGCCTGCCCCTCGGGAGGAAGCCACTGCCCTCATGAATGCCCACTGCCAAGCAACTGTCTTTGGGAAGGTCAGAGTGTCACCAGATTAGTATTAGAAACCAAGCACCAAGAATGAGCAGAGCAGTCACAGAAAGAAAGGAGGGAACTACAGGCTCCGTGTGTCCACAGCTCCTGAGGTCCTCACTGAGCAGATCCAACTGCTTGCTGGGGACTGGGGGACACACCCTCCATTCTACTGGGAACCTGGGAGGGTCTCCAGAGCACATCCTCTGCCTTCCTGTGAGCTGTGTGCACCTCTGTGTGCATATATTCATGTGTACGTCTGAGCTTGTACAAAAGAAGTCTCTCTCTCTCTCTCTCTCTCTCTCTCTCTCTCTCTCTCTCAGAAAAATATGAACTCCCTTCCCCTTTCCTCCTTATCTCTCATCGAAACTTATTTTTCTTGCTTATTTCTGTGCTAAAAACAGTAACGAAGACTTTTGAGCTTTGGGTAGGTATCTGAGAAGAGGATGTTATTTTACCCATTTGGCCATTAGAGAGGACCTGAGAGGCCAGGATAAGGTTTGTGAGAGCTAGAAGAAAGATCTATTTCAGATGCATATACGTTGGGCTTTGACAATGCAGGGGTTTAGGAATGTTGACCTCCCATGCAGTTGAAAATCCACATATAACTTGTGACTCCCCAAAAACTTGACTACTAATAGCCTACCACTTACCAAACCCTCACCAACAACATCTACAATTAATTAAAACATTATGCATGTTATATGTATTATATACTACTAGTGACCTGGTGCTTGGATTCATGCACATTGAAAGAAAATTAATTATAAGATGGCTGGCAGAGTGGGACTGGGTGAAATGGGCCAGACACGCCCTGGAGTCAACTTCCCATGCTCCCTCCCCAGCATTTGCAAAGTGACTGAGGCCCTCTAGCAGGTGGGGTTCTTCGGCATGGCCTGAGGGATTTGGGCCAGATCTGGCTCTCCGACATCCCCCGAGGGGTCCTGGAGTGGGAGAGGGCACTCTGCAAAGTTGCTGCCATACATGATGTGGAATGCAAACGCAAGTGTGCAGTAAACCATGTTCAGGGCCAACAGTGCCCCAGCAACAACATAACCCACAGCCAAAGGTAAAATCACACGGCCCCACCAGTAATCCGGTTCCCTTCTCTCTGGTTTTGGGGTGCGTCACCTGAGAACCACTGCTGCTCAGCAGCACCTGCATTGAGTGTCTGCCCCTGGTGGTCAGTGTGCATCATATAGATCAGTTGGATGGTCAGACAATATTATTATTACAATATCATTACAATAAAGTAAACTAGAGAAAAGAAAATGCTATTAAGACAATCATAAGAAAGAGGAAATAGATTTATAGCACTGTATTTATGGAAAAATATCATGTATATGTGGACCCTTGCAGCACAAACCTCTCTGTTCAAGTGCCAATTGTATAAGTTGTGCACGAAGACTTTGATCCATGGGCCTGGAAAATCCCAATGACTGGATTGGGAGGAAGTGGGCATGCTGGGGACAGGGGTGCTTTTCTGTCCCTTCTGCTTGGCCCCCTCCACCCTCAGGGAGCACTTCTGGCTCTACCTCCTTCCCTTCTCCCTGGTGGTCCTGCCCAGAGAGGAGGAGCAGCTGGCCGGGTGGTCAGCATGTTCATTGGACCTGGATTCCTTAGTGTGAAGATTGATTGTGCCTTAGAGCCATACACATGAGTTACCCAGTACCCTCAGAATTCAGCTTCCAACCCAGAAAGTCTGGGCTAGGCATGAGATTCTGCATTTCTAACACGGTCCCTGGCAGTCACCCTGGCTGGTTCAGAGAACCCATATGGAAGTACAAGTTCTTAAAGGCACCTCGTAGGCTAGCTTGCTATCTGCTCACAGCCTTGTCACCTCCACTCTCTGCCTCCCCAGCACGCAGCTGGGTGTTAAGAGCTGTCCTCAGAGCCTGGCATGTTGCCCTGTCCTGCCCTGCAGGTACTGCTGAGTTAGTGGGCACCAAGATTAAAATGTGCAGGAGAGGCAGAGGATGAGAGAGTGGAGAGGTCCAAACTGGGCTTCTGGCTATCCCCATCAGGGTTCAGAAAAGAAGCCACTCTATTCCGAGTATGAAGAAGCTGACACCACCATTGGGAAGGCTGTGGGAGCAAGTCGAATGGGCCACCATGCACTGTTTCATTTGCAACACCAACTGGAAGGCTCTCCAGAGCTTCCCAGAAGATGCCGTGAGTCTCAGATGCCCAGAGAAGCCAGCTCCTCTGTCTCACTCCCCAGCACCAAAGCCGTGGTTCTCAGCAGGCTGCCCTGAGGTCTGTTTGGAGCCTCACATCTGAGCAGGGTCTGGCTGTAGCTGCCTCCCTTTCTCTCCCTGTTCCAGGTCTCTCTCAGGCCCCCCTCTCACTGGCAGACTCCAGCCCAGACCACATCAGGAAGAGGATTCGAGGAACTACGACTGGCCCTGGCCTCACACCAGATGTCAGAAGGCGGTGGTGGTGATGCAGAATTGGCACAGGTCTACAATGCGTGGAGCTGAGCTTTATCGCTTCAATGCGATGGTGTCTACGCCCCAGCAGCCCTGGTTTCTATGGGCTGTGCTCCCTCTACCTTGGCTCCTGGAATGATGGTGGTCAGGTCCTCCTCAGGCCCCCAGTGCCACCCCTCCAGCAGACCACACATGACAATAATCCTACAGCTCAGGGCAAGCCTACGCAATGGTGCTTTGGGGAGAAAAATGCCTCCCAGCCTATTCTGCTGAGGCCCTAATTAGATAGGCTGTTACGGGGTTTTTGCTGTGCTGCCTTCCTGCGACTCCTTGGTGACATCTTTGCTTGTAGCTACCTGCCCGGGATCCCAGAGAAAATGACAGAGGAGATTGGGGCAGAGCCAAGGTGGCATTTAGCTCTACTGTGCTCCCTGCAGAGAACGCATGGGCTGAGGAGCACCACCTCCTGCTAACTGACTTTCAGTGCCCACACAGTCCTCTCTCTCCAGGGGCCACATCCCTCGGTTGGCATAGAATCGCATAAAGCTGAACAACAATAGCAAAGCTTCGTAGAGGTCAGTGGCAATGACATATTCTGGGGAGAAACGCTGTGAATTGCTCAGCCAGCGTCTTCAATGCTCTGACATTTAGTTGGTGACCCTGGTCACAAAACCACCGTTTGGGAAGGCTGAGGGGTGGCGATGGAAAGGCTGGGTCATTCCCCAGGAAGGCAGCATGCTCTGAGTGTGGGTCTTCCTGCCTGGGTCCTGGGATGGCCAGGAGAGGCAGCACCTGCCCCTTTGAGAGCCACCACAGTGACCGACTGCGGGGTCCCCTGCCTGGCAGGCCGATGTGAGCCTCTGTGAATTGCAGAGTGAAGGATATCCCTCTTGCCAGCCCCTGTCCCCTGCAGGCAGAGGAGAGGACTATTACAGGCTGTCCTTACCTTGGGAATTCGCCTGCAAGACCCCGATGCTGTCATCAAACTGCATAGATTTGATGTTGAGTGACGCCAAGATGCATTCCTTGTCCTGCAGCGAAGTATCATCAATATTATTCTGATTGGCTGACAGGATAACGCACATGTCACAGAGGTTGATGTTGACGGCCCTTAAATCAGCCCGACTTAATGGCGTACCCTTTGGCGGAGAGGAAAGAAAAAAAATAGAAGCAAAAGTGAGACCCAGGGACGAGAAGGGAAAGAGGGGAAAAAAAGAAAAGAAAAACAAATTAAAGATCGTGCTGGAGCTTTGGGAAATTATTTAACAAGTATCTTCTTTATGCCTTGACATTAAGCTGGCCTAACTGCATTCAGGGGAATAGGAGCTGTGTGCTAATCTAAAGGGTAGTCGGTGCTGATGGCAGCATTTTAGGCTCGCTCTCAATACTCAATCAAGCTATTACTAACAAACGAGGGAGGAATATTGCCAGGGTTCTACGTCTCCTTCCTGCTGGAAATTGTCTTGATTTAAGGAACTGTCCTGTGGCAACCTCAGGCTTTCAGAACGTAATGAGGGGGTGGGTTTCCAGTGCCTGTTTATTTAATAGCCGGTCACTTCTGTCACCAGCAAAAGACAGCAGCTCCAAGGAGAATTTCCGATGCAGGCAAGGGGAATGGCCAATGAGCAGTCGTGAGGAGATGAGGCTGAGACAAGGCTGCCCTCAGAGGATGTGGGCTGGGAGGAGGTGGGGAAAGGGGGTGCGGGAGGCAGCTATGTACATCTTGCAAAGGGGAGAGGGAAAGGAGTGAAGTTTCAAGTCACAGAATTTTATTTTAGCAGAAAAAAAAAATAAGGAAATTGCCTAACAACATAGGGATGGCTAAACACACTATGGAGCCTACATAGCATGGGAGTCTATGCAATCAGGAAAGGGGCGGAGACCACTCTCCACGCTGGCATCGCCTTGGAAGAATCTGGCACAGAGGAAAACATGGGAAAAGGGAAAATCAAGTTCTACACAATTTGAAAAGTATGCCATCCTTTATGTGAAAAGAATCCCACAAAATGAAACTATATGTTTATGAATTTATTTATAAAGCTATGGACATCCAAAGAGAAAGTTCAGGAAAAATTCGCACTACACCAATAATAGTAATTACCACTGGGGAGGAGAATAAGATTGGGGTGAAAGGAAAAGTTTGGTTTTGATTTTACATACTTCTGTATCGCTTGATATTTTTATAATGAAGATGTGTTTGTATATTCCTAGTGTAATTAAAAATAAATAAAGCAGAAAACAGGATTTTTTAATATCCTGAAACAATAAAATAGTGGGGAGGGGAGGACAGATCAGGGAGATGATGACAGAGAGACCAGGAAGGCCACCACAGGTGAGGGACATGGACCCACTTGCTCTGTGTCCTCAGGAGTCGCAGTAGGCCTCAGCAGGCCATCCGTGGCTGAGTGCCCAGGGACACCTCTCTGGAATCCACACCCAGCCCCAGCCTCCTTGGTTCTCCAGCTGCCATCCAGCCTCTGCTTTGCCTGCACCTATGGACTGTGTAGGGCCAGAGTTTGCCAACCACCTTGTATCTCTGGGTACCTTTCTCTAGTTCTCCTTCTTGGAAAGGGGGCCTTGAGAAGATTGAACTTGGTTGTGGACATCAAGGCCTCTTTTATGACCTGTGTCATTCATGATTCTCTTCTCAGCTACAAGGCAGAGCAAAGGAGGGAGAGGCATTCAGTCCTGAGGGGCTGAGGAGCTACTCATTCCAAACGCTGGAGCCTCATCTTTTGAGAGAAGGGGAAGGAAGTCCCCTCTCCTCCGGGGATCTCTTGGTACAAAAGAAGTTAGACCAGCTTCCTGAGTTACTGTGTCAGTGCATAAGCCCCAACCACCTGCATCCATATTCCTTTAATTTTCACCATGTGCGGAATCAGCAGTAAATTGTGACATAGGACAATCCCTGAACAGCTGTACACGCCTGATTTCAAAATTCAAGAAATACAATTGGCATACATAAAACCCTCTGTGTTTCTCCGGGCTGGCCCTCTCTGTGAGGCAATGTTTAAACAGTGAAATATATGCAGACAGAGAAGGGCCATTTTGTACAAATACGTGGTATTTGAGTATGCTAAATTGTGGAGTGTCTGAAAAGGACCTGCAAATATAAAAGCTCATTCATATAAATGCATGCAGGTGGGTGGATGTGTACAAGAGTGAGCAAAAGGAAACACACACACACACACAACCACCCACACCACACACACACACACACACACACACCCCAAATATTACATATACACAGACTCATATAACCCAGCAACATAATAAATTCCTCACAAGGTGCTTTTAGACCCTAGTCCATGCACTCCCAGGGCCCTGCATGTAAGAGCCCACAGAGGAAGATAGTCATGAAAAAACAGAATCTAATCAATGTCTGAAATTCACAAGCTGTGTATCTGTTTACACTCTTCAGCGTGCATGACTGGTTTTCTGCAGGTGACTATTTTTAATTACACGTGTTTACTAAGACAGTGAGTTTTTGGCCCAGCATCCAAAAGATATCTGTCTATATTTTTCTCCCATTTTTAAGTATTTATGGAATACCTATTCTGCCAGGCATATGTAAGGCCACATGGTGGCTGCTAATGCATATTATTTGTGGGTAGTTTATTACATATTTATTTAATTATATTTCTTCGTTGTTGTTGTTTTTTCTTTTCTATTTTTGAGGTTCTGGAAACTGATGATAGAAATAATGAATTTCAGTTCCATAAGTGGGAAAAAACATACCCCCCTAAAATGAAGCATCAAACTCATGTTCCTCAATTCCAGGGATGTGAACTTCTAAGAAAAATGTGTGGCAGACAAGTGCTATTTGTATGAATGCATGACATAGAGAACTGTATCAAATGTTGAAATGTACAATAATTTTTAACATTTATGGCAAATATATTGATTAATAATTAGAAAAGTAGTTCTAGGACTCACAGATTATGTACACCCTGTCCTCACACTAAGTTGTTAAGTAGCAAATTTTCCTTTTTCTAGATTTGGGTAGCAGTGTTTCATAATCAGTACTATCATAGGTTGCCTGGCCTGTGTGGCTCAGTGGTTTAGAGCACCATCCCCAAGCAGCAGAAGTTCCCAGGTTCCACTCCGGTCAGTCAGGGCATGTATCTGGGTTGCAGTTCCATCTCCAGCACCAGTTGGGATATGAGCACTTGGCAATCAATTGATGTTTCTCTCTCACATTGATGTTTCTTTTTTTTCTCTCTCTCCCTCCCTTCCTTCCACTCTGTTGGAAATCAATGGAAGAAAATCTCTTCAGGTGAGGATAAAATCCTTTGTAATAAAAGCCCAATATGCTAAGCGTCAGGTCATCCAGTGACCAGTTGACTGTTCAACCTATCAAACTGTAATATGCTAATGATATGCTAAGGCAGCTCAACTGCTGGCTATGACATGCACTGACCACCAGGGGGCAGGCAACCTTAGGTTATCTTGCTGTTGGATCCGACCAATGGGGACTGAGCGAGATGGGCTGGACACACTCTGGACCCCTCCCAAGATCTTTCCCCTGCCCAATTGTGCAGTGGTGGGGTCCTTCAACCTGCCCTGCAGCCTCTTGCAATCCAGGACCCCTTGAGGGATGTCAGAGAGCCATTTTCAGCCTGATCCCACAGGCCACTCCCCGCAGGAGGGTGCCAGATGCAGAGCTCACAGCTGGTGAACTTTGCTGCAGCACCGAGAAGCTCTCCTGATTGGGATGACTGGGAGAGAGCCCACAAAGGCACAGTGGGGCCAGAATGAGTGGGAGCAGCAGAAATGAGCTGTAGGTAACATTGAACTGCAGCTTTTGACCTGATCCCTGCAGGCCATCCAGAAGTCCCCACCCAGTGCACAAACTTGTGTACCAAGCCTCTAGTACATAAATAAACAACAACAACAAAAAGAATATCACAGGCACACACACAAATCCAGGGAAACACAGAGGACTGCTAAATGAGTGAGGGAGCAAGGCTGGTCAGCAGAAGGGGTCGGCTTTCATAGAGCAAAAATAAATGAAGAGCTCTGTTAAATAATTTAACTAAGAACAGAATGTGATAAAATAAAGATTCCCCCATAAATAAAATGATATAAATAGCTCCATAAGTAAAGTCTGCTCTAAGCATCATGCTATTGAACAGCACTGGGATTGGGTAAGCATGAGAGAGTGTTTAGACACTGACATGGTTAATACATTTGATACCAGCTAAACTTCATGTCTGTGGAGCAACTGAACTGGGCTGCAAATTCCTTTTAATAAGGTCCCCCAGGGTTTGGATATTCCTAGACAGAGCATAGAGGAAGGGCTGAATCCTCAGGCCCATAACCATATAAAGAAGCAGAGGCGTGATCAAAGCTCCAACTATTATATCCATGTGGGATTTTTTGTGTATGAAAGGAATTTAAAAAACCCCACCATCAATAATGTGACCTTGGACTTACAGGCAATATGGACACTTTGGGGAAGTTGTGAAGCGTCTCCCATTCCCGCTTGAGGTACTCAATGGAGCCCACGAACACGATGTGCTTGAGCTCATGGTAATGAAAGTTGCTGGCGCGGAGTGGCATCACCAGGTTCCGGAGGCCAATCAGGGCTGAGCTGACATCGCCAAAGATGCAGACCACCACGTGGCCACTCAGGACAGTCATGGCGGCTTCACTTCGAGTCTGCAGCAGGGAGAAGTGCATGGACATCTGAGAGAAGACCTCCTCGGGTTGTGGTAAGAACTAAAAGAATTCACCTGGTTGGCATGGTTTGGTGGTTGAGCATCAACCTATAAACCGTGTTCAAATCATGTTTCAATTCCCAGTCAGGGCACATGCCCAAGTTGCAAGCTCAATTCCAAGTGTGGGGCTTGCAGAAGGCAGCCAATCAATGATTTTCTCTCATAACTGATGTTTTTATTTCTCTCTCCCTTCCTCTCTGAAATCAATAAAAACATATTTAAAAAATAACTAAAAAATCATGAATGTAAAGGATAGAGTAAACACACACAGCAAGCACTTGTTGAGTGCTTACTATGTTATTTTATATGCTATAATTTTTATCTCAACAATGCTATATATATTTATAATTTGAGTGTGTATGTATCTAGCACACTAGGTATACTAAACATATTGAAACATATACCTGCATATACCACTATATTTTTTATAAAAGATATGTAATACATGCCTATGAGCAGATCTTTCTTAATGGTTTTCCGGGGGGAAGTCAGAGGAAACAGTGATATTTATGTTATTTGGAAAGGAAAGACTTAGTTTCTATAAAATTGTTGATAAAATAAGCTGTGTTTTTGCCTTGGCCAGGTAGATCCATTGATTGGAGGGTCAGTCTGTACACCAAGAGATTGCAGGTTTGGTTTCTGGTCAGGGCATATACTTAGGTTGCGGATTTGATCTCTGGACTGGCGTGTGTGGGAAGCAACCAATCAATGTTGTCTCTCTCTCTCTCTCTCTCTCTCTCTCTCTCTCTCTCTCTCTCTCAAAATCAATTTAAAAAAATCATATCCTCTGGTGAGTGTTTAAAAAGAGAGAGAGCGAGAGCACTATGTTTTCTGCCTCTCTTGCTGAGATAAGAATAAAATAGTCAAATCCTATGTTGGTCTCAAGAAATGTGAGTTCTTAGTCCTAGACTCCTCCGTGAGATTCTAAGTACATCATTGCATCAACAGGTAGAAAAGAATATCCTAAGCCAGGGATTAGCAAACTATGGCCCACAGGCCAAATTTGGCCCACCACCAACTTTTGTATGGCCAAGGCTGGTAAGCTAAGATTGATTTCTATATTTTAAAATGGTTGGGGAAAAAAACAAAAGGAGAATATTTCACAATATGTGAAAATTATATGAAATTCAAACTCCAATAAAATTTTATTACAACACAGATTTTACTCATCTAGGTCTTGCCAATGGTTGTTTTCACATTGTAATGGCAAAGTTGATTAGCTGTGACAGAGAACGTGTGCTCAACAAAACCTAAATTAGTTATTATATGACCCTTTACAACTGACCCCTGTCCACTGCAACCTTGGTGTCTCCAGCAGCATGCCTGGAGTGGCTCACCTGTGTAGTTACCAGAGGAAGATTCCCCCCAAAATCATTAAAAAGATCTAGAGCAAGAATGACAAGAGGAACAACAACCTTTGTCTTTCCCAACCCCTGTCCTGAATCTACAAAGAAGGCAAATGAAAGAACCAAATGACCCACATCAGAAGAGGACATCAGCTTCCCGGGAAATGTCATGTTAGCCACTGCTGGTGGTTTCACTCACTGTTGGCAAAGAGAACAACACACGAAGGCCATCTGTGGGCCTTTGTCTGCCTCTCTTTCTGGCCCAACACCTCCCATCGTGCCTGCCTGCCTGTACACCCACTGAATGCCTGAGTAGCCCCACGTGGCTTATAATGCTTTGGGGGAGGCATATTAATGTCCACCGCACATATCAAACTCTGCTCCACTTAATCCCTAGAACTGACCCGTGTATTGATTGTTTAAATGCCAATATTGCAATTCATGACAATGTCAGGGTTATTATAGTAACCCCCAAGGAGGGGAAGAAGCTAGCTTTTACTCCCTGATCGTTAGACTAAAATAGGGGCTGTTGCTATTATTGGTTTCCCTCTGTAATAGCACAGGAGCACCTAAGACACCAGCTGTAAGAAATGTTTCATAAACTGTGGCCAAGGGGGACCCACTGGGAGTCACAGCCTGCATCACCACCTCATGGGGTAGACCTAGAGTTGATTATCTTGGCTGCAAGAAAGTGTGTGTGCCTGGGTACCACCAGCAGAGGGTCAACTAGACTGTAAGGTGCTGTGATGGGGCTCCTAATTATTTTGAATTGACAAGATCACCTGGGAGCTAGCTCCCTTCAACAAGCCTGAGGAATCTAAACTGGGTCCAGAGGAGGGAGCAAGGCATCTAGAATAGGGAGGTGGGGAAGGCACCAGTTAGCAGAGTGGCGCGGGGACAGATGCTGACCCCAGAAACTTAGATCAAGGTATTCTACCTGGAGTACCTTGTAAAAGTACTCAGCCCTACAGAATCTGATTCTGCCAGTTGTAAGACACACTGGAGAAATGATTCATGTGAGCATCCTGTGTCTGCTTCGCATGCTTCACAGCCCTACTGAAACTGGGGTCCTTAATGGCCTCAAACCCCTGGAAGCACAACCTGTTTATATCCAATAAGACTTCCTGGACGCTGAAATGCATGCCAGGCTTCTCCCTGAAATTTGAATAGCACTTTGTGCCTCTACCCATCTAGCTTTAAATGTATTGTTTCATGGTTATATTTTATGTTTTCTCTCCAATTAGATTATAACTTCCTTAAGATAGAGGCCATCTCATGAGCAGCACTATTTGTCATCTTCAGCACTCTACCTGTCTACACTCTGTGCTAAGAAGGATCACAAATATGCAGATCTATTATCTACATGCACACAAACTACTGTGATATGTACATAACAATACAGGCAGTATTCAGATTTTTTCATGGCATTTAACAGTAGTAATGATAATAATAGGTAGCTCTGTTGAGTTATATTTTGGGCTTTAATTTTCACTACAACCTTATGAGTTATGGTCATCCCCATCACATTTTCTTACAGATAAGACAACTGAAGTGCAAGGAGGTCAAGTGACTTGTCCATGTCCGTGCGGCTGCTAAAAAGCACATGCAGGCTCTGGCCCTGGAGCCACACCCACAGAAGTGAGGGTACATAAATTTTCCCATGATGCCTTTCAGAAGCATGTGATCCTATTGTAATGACTCCATAAATATTCAGAGATAGGAAATTCTACTCTTGGTTCATGTTCTTATGAGAGTCCTAGCTGCTTCAATATGTGTCCTGCATTTTAATTATTCAAAGTAATTAGCACCAGGGGCTGAGTTATCCCACTCTGCAGTCAGAGAAACCACTGCCCTAATGAACGTAGCTTGGGAACAGAAGCAGGCAGCATCAATTCGCAGTCTGTCACTCACCAGGATGACTTTCTCTATCTCCTTGGGAGCGCACCAGTGAAACATCCCAGTAGAGTCGTACTTCTTCACGTTGGAGTCCATGTTGTCGATCTGATCATTGCCGGGAATTAACAAGGGGTCATGCCTGGGGAGAAAAGGACAGGAAAGCCGAAGTGGGAAATATGATAAATTATAAATGGAAAGTGCCCCTGAGTTCCATGTGGAGGAGATGAAGGATGCAGAGAACATGGTTGTCACTGAGAGCCATTTTTGTGCTTGCAAACCCATCCTTTGAAAGACAACTACCTCAAACCACCAGCACCTGGGAGTGCAGGAGACCTTTGTCAGGTAATGATTCTGCCGTCCTCTCCTACTCCCCTTTGCTACAATGGACTCCACATTATTTTGTAGATTTGGTCTCCCTTTTTATGAAGAGGTCACTCTTGGTCCTCCTCTCATTTGACCAGATACCCAATTTCTCCAGTGAGCGCGGACACACACACACACACACACACACACACAGTTCCTTGTTAGCATTGGCATTGGCAATGAAGAGGAAGGAACAGGAACAGGGTTTCAATGCTGACTGACTGGCATGAGGATGGAAAGCCAATTACTCGTTCTTTCTGACTACAACTTCTGACGTGATTCTCTTCGCAGTAAAAGCTTTAACAGGCTGCACTTTAAATATTTTAGCAATTTGCCCAATCAGATTTTGCTCTCCCCGGCTGAAGCCCTTTAAAGATTCAGCAGCATGTCACTTCAGAGCAGACTGACTACCAAATGCCCACATCTGGAATACATAATTGCAATACTAAGCAACACTCTCTCTCCTTGCCTTGACAACTGCATTTGCACTAACTGTCCAATGGGGCTCCCCCCACCCCACCTTCACCTCCCAGCTGCAGCATCCCTGCATGAGAGCCTCAAGTTCAGACGCATCTTAATACACTTGTTTTGAATTCTTAGGGCTGCATTCACCCTCTCTTGCCTTGTTACTAGTGGAAAAGGAGAAGGCTTTTACAGAATCCTCCCCTCCAATAGATTGGCAGACACACCGGCATCCTTAAGCATTGCAATAGAACCGGGCAGGTCTAACGAATTTGCAGCATAAGAAACATACTCCTAAGTGTTGGGCAATAACTGCGTTCAGGTTCTGTCTCCAATAGTGGTTCTGTGCCTCAGGTTTGGTCTGGGTCATTTGGTTTGCCAAAACAGTGACCACTATAATTGGAACAATGTCCTAGGCATCCCTGCAGTGGAGCTGTTTTTCCTGAACAATAATGTCCATTCAAGAACTAAAATATAAGTAGGTTTACATTCTAGATATTTACTATAAAGTGATTTTACTTTTTAAGTAATCTATTCAAACATCAAAGGGTGACCTTTATTTAGTTGACATTATTTCTCCCTCTGAACTTTTCCTGACACTTCTCACTTACATGTTCACAATGCAGACCGTGGGGTAGCCATCCCTCCTACATGGTCCACAGACCTACAGTTACACTTTCAGGATGACCATCATGACCATCTCAGCCTCCCACCCCCAACTTAGGATGAGAAAGCTCTGACTGGATTTATTTATTTCTGAGAATTTGTTTCCAGGCTGTGCCAAATGACACCAACCATATGAAGGAACCCTGCAAAGTTATCTCCAACGAACATATTAAATTATGATAGGAATTGACATGTAGGGTCCTAAAGGAGAAGAACACTCCCCACCCCTTGGAATAGCATCTCAAGTGGCTATTTGAGATGGGTATTTGAGAGGTCTTGAGATGTTATAAACCACCTGGTCACCTTTCAGATACTGAACTCAGTCAAAAATGATAAAATAAAAAGGCAGTTTCTGATAAAAAGAGATTAGGGCAAGAGCAAAGTTTGAATTTTTTGACCTTGAAGAATATGTAACTAAGAAAAGAGAAACATGCAAATTAACCATCACTCTACTATGTCTACCAGCCAATCAGGAGAGAATATACAAATTAGAAGGTCAAAGATGGTGGCCACCCAGCTGCTCCAGGTGCTGAATGGTAGGGTGGGGCAGGACACTTGCTATGAGAGGGAGGGCAGGGGCAAAGGGATCTACAGGAGCAGTACTCCAACTGCAGCAAAGATGAAGATGGCAGACTTTTGCCAGAACGAAGGCCTGGGACCTGGGTGCCAAAGGAAAACCAGTGCTGGAAGCCAAAGAAAGAAAAGCCTTTTGCACAAATTTATCATGCAGTGGGCCTCTTGTTGTTCTATTTTCATCTATTCTCTGGGATAAGTAGATGGGCAGAGACCACCATAGCAAAAAGGCTTGAGAAAATGAGCAGAATGAACTCTTAAAAGAGGATTTTAATAAAGTTGACCTGAACATAAAGAGTCCAGTTTACTGGTTGGAGAAGGAAGATTATCTCAGGAAAGTCTAAGACCCACCCTCAATGCATTCAGAATTAAAAGGTACCCAATAAGCACACCAATGACAAATTCCTTTATGACAATATGTGTCTTAGGAGAGAGGATACACATCATATTTCTTCCTCTTTCTGGGAAGAAATCATTCCTTGGAAATACTGGGCTCCAACCCCATCTTAGAAAAGTAGATAAATAAGCCTTATGATCAATTACTCCTCAATGAGAGGAAAAAAGACAGCTTTTTAATGACAGGACTCACTAACGGGGGTGAGAGTTGGGGGCAGCAGGTATAATTTGACACCAGGGCTGCAAGCTGGGTGGCAATGGGACATCAGAAGCACCTAGGAGGTCTCAGCACTGTCTCCCTACATGTCTTTTGTCTGGCCTAGCTCATTTAAAGATAAGCATCTAGAATTTTCCTCAAAGGGTTGAATCCAAGAACCACCAAAAACTTCCCAGAACAAATGTATTTCATTTTCTGACCAGCCATGGCACCTGGGATCTGAACTTTTGTTTCTTGACTCAGCAGAGCAACCAAATAAACATAAATCTCCTGTTCTGAGCCAGGAATCTAAGACAATCTAATGACAGGACACAGTCCCTCATCAAAGACAGGGTCGTACATAACAGAGAAAATGCCAATCAATAGTGTGGCCCACCGTGGTAAGTGTCATAGCAAAGCAATGTACAAGGTGGTAGGAGAACACCAAGAGCAAAGCTGTTAATTGCCTGGCATTTGAATAACATTAAGGAAGGCTCCATGGGAAAGGTAACATTTGACCTATGCTCTGGAAGGTGGAAGGACTCTCAGCGTATTTTAATTGTTGATCCATTAGTAGCCATTAAGACCATCTCAGAGAATTGAGACCCAAATTAAAAAAAAAAAAATGGCACCTAATACCATAGATGTCAGCTATGGTATTACCTAACCTGGGGTATAGTGGACTCCGGCCAGGCACACTAGCTGTCCACAGATATGAATGATGATCCAGTGAGGATGGATCAACTGATTGAGTATGACTGACCGAGAGCAGACGACAAACAATGCATGCTATGGGTAGAACAAACACCAAGTTTCCAAAAAGGAGAAATATTATAAAAAGTGAAGCTTTTTCAAAAGCGAAATGAGATGCTTCTCAAGTAGTGGATTTCTCACCACTTGAGACATTCCAGAGGAGCTGGTGATATAGAGTGTTTTATGACAGAGGTTGGGTAAGCCCAGAAGACCTTAAAGGTATGAAGCAGTGTGCTTTTGTTAGGCAAAGGGGTGGCTAGGAGGATTTTGAAATATTGAACCACTATTGGGCATCGACAAACCAAGGGCCTTGAGCAAGCAAAGAAAAGTTGTTGGAACAAAGCGGAACTTCTATATCTAAATTGAGGTTTTGGAAGTGTATCCATAGAAGCAAGTCCAAGCATTTGCCACTGAGCACAGCCAACACTGACAAGGTCAGGACCAGGAGAGGAACTGGAGTTTGTTGCACATGGAAAAGAGGACCAACAGAAGCATCCCCGAACCAAGCATCCAGCATGGAAGGTTAACAAAATGGTGAAGAGAATGATTTTCACAGGCTCTCAGACAACTCCATAATTAATACTTAGCTGGATGGACCCCAGAACGAGTAAGAGACACTGCCTTTCACATTCTAATTATTTTATGTATTTTCTCAATTCACAAGGTAATCCCAAATTCCCTACAATGCATGAACTCATGTCTCATTGGTTACTTACTACTTAATCAATGTGTATGCCTTATTTTAGGGTAATAGAAACCCCATGAGGTGAGATATATCTGCTGCTAAATAGGTCTGAATTGTTAAGGGCTGAATTGCTTCCCCCACAAAGTCTGTATGTTCAATTCCTAACCCCAGCACCTCAGACTGTGATGGCATTTTGAGGTGTAGTCTTTAAAAAGGTAGTTAAATTAAAAGAGGGCATTAGGGTAAGTCTGCATCCCATATAACTGGTGTCCTTATAAGAGGAAATTTTGACATAGACATCTATGAAGGGTAGACAATTTGAAGACTTGGGGATAAGAGAGCTGTCTACAAGCCAAGAAGAGCAACCTGGCACAGACCCTTTGTCCAAGGCCTGAAGGAACCAACACAGTCAGCATCTCGACCGAGGGCTTCCAGATTCCAGAACCATGAGAAAATATTTTGTTATGGTACCCAGTCTATGATACGTCACTATGGCAGCCCTAGAAAACTCCGATGTGTCCAGTATCACCCCACTGATGGCCCTGGCTGCCCTTCTTGCCTCTTAGTCTCACCTGTTCAGTTAAGGGAGTAGAGCATCCTATCATCAGTTTACCAATGAAATACACCAAATATGTATTGATACAATATCTTACTCAAAGAGCTCAGGCCTGTGCCCTTGTCCTCACCACCATAACCCACCATTCATACATACTTAGGTCTACTCTACCCAAGTGGGAACTTCTCTCTGGTCTTTAGCTTACACCCAAATTTGAAGAGCAATACCCATGAGAGCCCAACTCAACAAAAAGAGGAAACCCAGACTCTTGCCAGTTTATTTGTTCAGTAGAACCAAGAGTCTCTTGCCAAAGGGAGTGGTTTGGGGATAGATACCCTGTAGGACCAGAAAACACTTATTTCCTCAGAGACAATGTAGCATAATGGCTCCAGCACTGTCTTCTAGTCTTAGCTCATCTCCTACTTGCTACAGTGTACCTTGCCTCACTTTTTTCACCTGTAAAATGGGAGTATCAATCACCGTCATCTC